TGACAGACACATATGGCTGCGTTCACTTTAAGAACGGATCCCTGTCTCATTTGTACTGTCTGTCTGTCACACGCGTTTAATGCTTATTTAAGACATTAGACTGTCTTTACGAGGTTACTCACCAATACCAGAGTTTTGACATAATGTCGCGTGTTTTTAACTGTTAAAGCGATATAATCCAGGGATAAAACGTTTGTTTCAGGCGAGCTGTTTGAGGCGGATTGGCTTTACTGTATGTGCACGCAGTGAAAGACATCTCTGAGAGTGCGCGAGCACGGGATGGTTTAATATTGCTTGAATGTTTAAACTAAAACTTAAAAAGACGTGAAAATTATAAACGTTAGTTACCATCATAGGTTACGATGCAATGCTGGCCCGATTGTGCAAGTGAATATTTCGTCGTGTCCCGACTCCTAAACGCGAGTGTGTATCGACAGCTGCAGCGCTTAGTGTAGGGCTGCAGCTATCAATTCTTTTTGTAATCGATTAATCTAGCACTTAATCGATCGATTAATCGAGTAATCGGATAATTTGTTTATGTGTGTTTTTAAGCAACCAAAACAAATAATGTATTACGAAAATGATAAGGTGTTTGGCTTTTATTTATTTAAAAGAAAATAGAGGTATTTATTCCAACTGCAACATTTGGCTCCACAACTAATTATTGCAATTTTTACCCGTGTTTATAAGTGCCAGTGCCAACAATTATATAACAATACAGTTAAAACAATTTACTGTAAAACCTGTTACATGTAGCCCATAACATGTAAAACTTTGAATACAAACTTAAATAGTAAAGCCCATTTGGCCTTAGTTTTGTCTTCTTAATACAACATTACAAAAAAAGGATTGCACCTTCTGCAAATTACCCACCTGGAAACAAAAATATATTAATATAAAATATCAACCCAAACAGGTACACAAATGTGTACAATTTATAAAAAATAAATAAATGGAAATAAAACAATTATAAATAAGAATCAGACTTTTTCAACTGTAATCTCAAGACAAACATCAGAGTGTGTCTGTGTGTCTCACAATATTTGTTCCTCCATCACGTCCCGGTGAATGTATGCTGAAATTTTTGTTGCGTGGCTACATAAAAGTTTAAGCATATGATGAATTGCCGCAATTGGTCTGACTGGCGCGTGAGAGAGACATGGGTGCACGCGCTCGCTTACCTCTGCCGTCGTGCGCGAGCCGCGGTCAACATCTCGCATGCGCGCTCGCACTAGATTACAGGATATTTTAACTTGCGAATTAATATGCGGCGGTAAAACTAGTCGATCACGAGTGGCTCAACAGGTAGATCTATAGACGAGCTCATCTTTCAGGCATTTGACCGAAGGGATATACACGCAGCGTGAAAAATCGAATTGCGCGAGTCTCACGCTGAATGCGTGAGAGTTGGCAGCCCTGCCGGGTATACTTTGCAGACACATTGCATCTTGTTCTCTCCTTTATAAACATATAATGATCCCAAACTTTAGACATTCTCTGCAATTTATGAAGTCATATGTATCATGCGCTGTGGTGTGCTTCCTGAATAACGGTCCGTGTGAAACAATCAGATCCCTGCGTGCGCCATAGGAACTGCGTCATTTAACGAGGCTTCGAGGCAGATTTTTTGCCTCAAGGAATTTTTGTAATCGAGTAACTCGAGTAACTCGAGGAATCGTTTCAGCCCTAGCTTAGTGCTTGCCTAGTGCAGTGAGACGAGAAGACGCCGCACCGCGTCCGCGAGCCCTTTATATGGAAAAAATCGATTCGAGGCCGTTGAGAATCGATTTTGAATCGGCCACATTTTAAAAACCGATTAATCGAAAAATCAATTTTTTTTGCCCAGCCCTAACACACACACACATATATATATATATATATATATATATATATATATATAAATCACATAAAACATAAAAGCCTGCCGGAAAAGATGGGTCTTAAGGCAAGATTTAAAAACATGAATACTTTCACTGTTTCGCACATCCTGTGGCAGCAGGTTCCATAAATAAGGAGCTGCAAAACTAAAAGCCCGGGACCCCATAGAAGTAGTGCGGGTTCTAGGGAGAACAAGAGTGAGCGAGGAAGACGATCTTAAAGTCCGAGATCGAATATAGATATTAAGAAGGTCCAATAAATATGAAGGGGCAAGGTTATTGAGTGCTTTAAATGTCCGCTTTGGACAGTATTCATGTAAATTATGTCGGTTATGTCTTAAACAGTTGTGAGTGTATCGGATGTGCATCAGTGCAATTGGATCCGCATGTCATTGGAAATAATCCGACGTCTTAAAGTGAAAGTGGCAACAAACATAATGTGGTCTGTGTCCTTAATATTGATCAAGCAACCAAAGAAAAAGAGAAAAGCAATCACAGTTTGTTAATAGCTTTAGTATAATAAGGATTAATTATATTTAATTTACACAAAGAATATTTCTGCTTGAAAGAATAAAGAAGGATGTATGCATGGTTATAAAGAATGCATACTGTATATCATCCATTGAAAAGGCTGTGTTGTACTTTAGGAAAAGTGGTTTTTATTTAATTTTAAGATATTTTTTAAATCACAGTAGTTAAATCCGTATCTGTATTGCATGTTCAGACTTTTAAATCATTTATATTAATAGGTTAATAGATGTTTTCTTCGGGAGTGTATGGGTTTGTACATTTTATTCTATTCTAAATTCTAAATTAACGCATTACAATTTAACTAAACCCATTATATTTTAGTCGACTAAAATCCAATGTGATCTCATGAGAATACGTATGCATTTGTACGTAAAGTGTAGTTCTATCATACGTACATATAATTACGTTTTATATGCGCAGAAACGTATAATACTGACGTATTTACAGAACTAAAATGTAAAATATTTACGTTATTGACAGCACAAAAACGTAATTTATTTACATTTGAACAAATCCACCGATGTACACATTTGTACATATCACAATTTATGCATATTAAAATCGTAGCATTATGTTTTGACTCTATTGCATTCAACTGTCTTATTCATTACGTTTTCAGTCTCATTTATTGATATAATACTCATAAATATTAACATTTTGCTCGTTTCGCCTGCATGGTGTTAAACAATACACTATAAAACCTTAAAAATACATTCTTTAACTTTACTCGTTTAACCATTTTGTAATATAGTTTATTTGCCGTGAGGCACAGAAAGTGTTTTCTCCTATAAAACAAAACATAAATTCACAAAAGACATCAATTTTATTAGTTTGATGTAATCCAAATCTTTAGAATCCATAGCCTACGTTGTTTACAAGAAAAAAATCCTAATTCAACCTTTTATCCAGTCGTGATCTTCGCCTCCATTCTCAGCAGCAACCGTACACGTCAAATCCCGCGCTGGTGATGAATTCAAATTCAAAAATCGCGCCCTTGAGAAGCGATACGTCGTGTTTTACGGCAGAGATATCAAATGGTCATTGGCTCTTCCCTGCCTCATCACAGATTGAGACATGAAGGACTGTGACGGTTGGTTTAGTTCTTTTGAAATAGTGCGAAGCTGCGAACTGAAGCCGGATGAACATTTTCATTGATTATTAATTTAAATTCTGCTCTGTACTTCATACAAAACTATTACAATGTTGCCAGAGAGGACTGCGACTGCAAAGCATCTTCATGTGAACGGCTTTTGGTAGCGGTTTTGACATTTTCGCAATAAATATATTATTGTGATTATACTTTTCTGTTAGTCACGTTTTTCTTCATAATTGTAACGTTAGTTTACGTAGTTTTAACGAATTGTTAGGGGTTTAGGGGTAGGAGTAGGATTGGTGGCTCAAAATATATTTTAATGCCATATTGTTAATACAACTGCCATTTCCCAACACATCTGTCCATTATGTTTTATCCTTTTTTTATATTCTGTATAAAATACACTGTAAAAAAATGTCTTGTCAAATTAACAGTAACTTACTGGCAACAATTATCCAGTACTTGCTGTATTTCATTCAACAATAAAATTACTTTAACACTAACTACAGTACTGTTAAGCATACTGTAAAATCAAATAACATTATTTTACTGTAATTTCTTACCATATTAAAGTACAGTATTACACTGTTAATTTTTAATAATACTGTATAGTATTATACAGTTATGAAATGTTATTGTATTTATTTGGTGCTACTGTGTAACCTGTAGAATATGTAGAAAATCCGTAGAAATAGAGTATTATTTAACAGTTAAAATAATATTTCTATGGATTTTCTACATATTCTACAGGTTGCACAGTAGCACTATAGGAAATAGAAAAAAGAACAATTGAAGCTTTAACTGCTCAAGGTTTATTGTGTATTTTCAAACACATTACATTTACATATATACATTTAAATACATGAATAAAATTAAATACATGAATAATAATAATGTAATATAATACAATTTAAATCATGCATGAAAATCATGAACAATCATGCGTTTCAATTCATGCAAAAATGATTATGAACAGGTAAAATAGAAAAGATTAAAGGGGCGCTATCTGATCAATCTATTAGAAAGGGGGGGGGGCTTAAACTAGATAGTCTATTGGTTTGAGATAGACTGTCTAACTGGTCAGACTGGTCTGTTGCTGATTTTAAAGGGTTTTGGGCTCCTTTATAACTAGAGGACCAGATTTGCAGGGCTGGGAGAAATGTATAACTACACTTTAACAACTACAGACCAGTGTCATTGCTCTCTCGGTTTTCTAAAATCCTTGAAAAGTTGTTTGCTCAAAAATTAATTTTTTTTTTAGAAAAACACAAATTATTTAATGAAAAACAATATGGCTTTAGAGATAAAAAAGATTAACTGCTTTGGCATTAATTGAACTCATAGGAAAAATTACATCTGCAACTGAGGATAAAGCAATACACAGTGGAGGTCTTCATCAACTTAAGCAAAGCATTTAAAGGGTTAGTTCACCCAAAAATGAAAATTCTGTCAGTATTTACTCACCCTCATGTTGTTCAACCCCGTAAGACATTAATTCATCTTCCGAACACAAATTAAGATATTTTTTATGAAATCTGAGAGCTGGATCACTCCTGCATACTAGTCCATAGGCTTTGGTATGATTTTTTCTTTGGTATGATTGGCTTGATTTTTGTTAACGCAAATACACACAAATGTGGCATTTTCTTTTCATCCATTATCTGTTGGTCACAAAAGTACACAAACACACATTTGAAAACAAAAACAACAACATTTGAAAGACCCACAACTGTCTAGTTTGTAATGTCAAATAATGCTACAATCAAGATGAGGCTCTATAAAAGGAGTAATTAAAACAAAGAATAAGACAAACAATACGAAAACATTAAATACAGACTTACTATTTTAATTTTGCTGTTTGGCTTGATGTGGTCATCATTTATGTATCGTCCGAGATTTTCTGTAGCTTTACTGCCATCAACACTGTATGGTGAAATATATTTTAAAAACACTGTATATAAACATACCATAATATGATGTAATTATACTTCATTAGAACATTCATTAATTTAATCTTACCAGTAAGATTGTCCCTGAAAGGAGTAGAAATATAAAAAAACTGCATCTTCAGCTGAGTAGTCTTTGAGCAGGGTCTCTCCTTCAGATCCAGCCATGTGTCTTCCAACATACTCCAGTAGGAATTCTCCTGGCTCAATATGTTTTGTGGCGATTACTCCAAAACCTAATAAATTGGGTATAAATAAGTGTAAATTAAGTATGAGAAAAGATTCATAAAGTTGTTAAGGTTGTCTAAACTGTTTTAAATGGTAGCCCTGCTTGGAAAACAAATACGATATCTACATCTAAAAGTGCAAAACTACAAAACTCATATGTATCATGACACTGAATATTGATAATTTCCATTGTTAAACAGGCCCCCGGAGTCTAACTGGCAGTTACATACAAATAATATCAAGATCACTCGCACATCTACACAATGGAGTTTAATTTGGACATCAAGCATATACAGGCAGGAAAACAGATATAAATCCACCTTTAACTGATTCAATCATGTTTTTTTGTTTCTCTTGTGTTTTTTTTTAACAGCCTGTTGTTTTTAGCTACACATTTTAAACCCAACCATTCGACATTATTTAGAGACCAAACTTAGCTTTTAATTAAGTTTTGCAAAGTCATACTGATGGCAGAATTGAATGCCGTAACTTACCTTTCTCTTCACACATTAATTTTTTCTCGAATGTGTCTTTATCTTTCCCCGAAGCAATGAAGTACAAGGCTTCCTTTTCAGGAGAAACTCTTTTGGGTCTCATTTTCCTGTGAAATATAAGAACATTTTATGCAGGATATAGTGCATATGCTAAGTAAAAAAAAATAAAAAAATAAAAAAATAGAAAATACTCTAAAAAAAAACTCCTTAGAATTGTGTAGACAATAACTTATTGAAAAGATGACAATGTGGCTGATAATTTACTACATTTTTACTATACTTTTTATATCAAGTATTTTTATAAAATCATTTTAAAAAGAAACTGAATATCAATAATACCAATCTGCATGCACATTTACATTGTAAGAGGATGCAAAAACATTGTATAATGTTAGCATTTACAAATCATCATAAAATGAAGTTAGAATGTACAACTTACCTTTTACTTCGGAAAGAAAAAAAGTGAGATGAGAAATGGCTCAGTGCGCTTAGGATCTTGGGATCTTGTAGGTAGATAAATCTTTAAACTATAATAGAAAGATAACTCTCCAATGTAGGAAACAATCTCGTTGAAGTCTTCTAAAGTTGTGCTCTTCCAAATGCCAAACATGAAGTGTGAATTAGGAACCTGGAATAGAGAGATATACGTTCTGCTATCGGAGCAGTGATTGGGCCATCGGATAAACCACAGTTAGCCAACATTACTATTGGTTCTGTTATGCAAATGTTTTGTGATTGAAATCAAATAGCTAGATTAACATAAGGGTAGAATCTGTTGGTAAATTAGTTTTAAATCCAGTTGTAAACATCAACTGGATCAGGAAAAAGTACTTTTCATAATTAGTATTATTTTGCATGCATTTTAAATAGAGCACAGAACACAAACCTATATCAATGGCAGATAAAACATGATAAAGTTAATAAAGGAAAAGTTCAAAAATAATATCAAACTATGGGATGGTGCAGCATTTAAAGAAAGTAGGCGATATACAATTAATTTACTATTTAAAAGATTTTAAAAGACAGAAAAAAGTAATTTACCACAATGTAAAAAAAAAAAATAAATAAAAAATCTGCTCATTTATAAATCAAATGATGTTATAGGGATGTAGCAGATTACCATGGGCATTCATATTTTTGTTGGTTTAACTAAACCTTTATACCACATCTGAAACGAAAGCTCATATTAATAGTACCTCTTGTTGAATCTCTCAAAAAATACATGCAGAGTCCTCAGAGTGTTTTAAGTATAGGATGACTTGTTTAAGCATATGTATTTTTAGGTCTAAGGTAAACTTTCACAGCCTGGCCTTTGAAGCCGTTCTCCATAGAGATGCTAATGTCCTGCAGGTAGTGGGGGTTGCAGCTCAGTCCACTCAGGGACTGAAAACACAGTGAGAAAGCGTCCGATCACAGCCATTGGGATATGTTTCAATCAGCTCTGTAATTTAGCAGAGCTGTTTACAATACAGTCAAATCACACCACATGTATTTTTACACGTTTATATATCAATGTTTATACTTAAACACATTAACATTTTCTAAGACAGCCCTGTTTTAGCAGGTGGGGAATAAATAAATATGATGAGTATGTCATAAATCTTGCTTTAGTAAGCAGACACTTGAGAGCTTAATGTTACTTACTCAGACTGTTAGTATTAAACAGATATGTTAGCTCAAATACAAAAACTTATACAATTGATAATACTTGATAATACATATTTGGAATGTCTAAACATGGATGTGGTAAATGGATCTAGGAACACAACAAGCTAAAACCATTACTGAAACCATTTTGATTCTGTCAAAAATAATTTCTAACAATTGCACCCCTTACATGTCCAGTCAGTCCCTAATTCAATTTTTTAAGATGTTTTCAAAATATCCACAGTGTATTTTTAATGTATGTTTGTTTTTATTTGGTGTGCTCAGATGATGAATGAATGAATGGAAGTGCATGTTTATGTTATTTTTGTGTTGTTGTTTTTTTTGTCCCAAAATAAGAAACCGTAAGTGAGTGCTTGTAATAACTTCCAGTTTAAAATATTCATAATTACGGTTGCTTACATGCGCTCCTCACAAAGATTAATACATTTTTTAGGTTAAAGAGCTAAGGATGTTAAATCCACAAATATCTAACTGTTATCCATAAGCCAACTGCAATTAAGACAT